TCATCAAAAACTAGGCACATTGCCTCAAGAAAGTCTTTTAAATTTCATTCTAACTGTATTTTGTTATTAATATATATATATTGGTAACAAAATACACTTAGAATGACATTCTATATATATTTATCTATATATAAAAAAAATAAATAACCGCAAATATATTTATATAGATAAATATATATAATTACATAAATGATTACATAAGTATACACGTAGAATTTAAATATATATATATGTATACATATTAAAATTCTACGTCTATATTTAAATAATATTTTGATTGACATGCCTGACAACCCAGGCAGAAAGTGCAGAGAATTTAATTTGCAAAGCACTATATTTAACCCTGTAACTTTCCAAGACACCATAAAACCTGTACATGGGGGCTACTGTTTTACTCAGGAGACTTCACTGAACACAAATATTTGTGTTTCAAAATGATAAATTGTATTACAACGATGATATTTTCAGTAAAAGTGAAGTTTTTTGCATTTTTTCACACACGGACAGCACTTTTACTGACGATATTGTTGTAATATGTTTTACTGTTTTGAAACACTTATGTTTGTGTTCAGTGAAGTCTCCCAAGTATAACAGTACCCCCTATGTACAGGTTTTATGGTGTTTTGGAAAGTTAGAGAGTCAAATATAAGGCTTGCATTTCATTTTTTTCACATTGAAATTTGCCAGTTTGGTAATGTTGCCTTTGAGACCGTATGGTAGCCCAGGAGTCACAAACACTGGCCAAATATTAGTTTTTTTGCTTTTTTCACACAAAAACAAATATGAACGTTAACTTTGGCCAGTGTTTGTGACTAAGTGGCTAATAAGAAAGACTGGACATACCCCTCTTGCAATACCTTGGGTTGTGTACTTTTGCAAATGGTATGCCACCGTGGGGGTAATTCTCATTCCTGTCTCACACGGTCTCAAAGGTAACATTACTAATCTGGCAAATTTTAATGTGAAAAAAAAAATAAAAAATGGAATGTGCTATATTTGACCCTGTAACTTTCCAAAACATCGTAAAATCTGTTAATGGGGGGTACTGTTTTACTTGTGAGACATTGCTGAATACAAATATGTGCATTTTATTGCAGTAAAAGCAAACAGTAGCATGACATTTACCGCTAAAATGTCAGGCGGAACTACAAATTTATTTTTAAATCTTAAAGGACCACTATAGTGCCAGGAAAACATACTCGTTTTCCTGGCACTATAGTGCCCTGAGGGTGCCCCCACCCTCAGGGACCCCCTCCCGCCCGGCTCTGGAAAGGGGGAAAGGGGTTAAAACTTACCTTTTTCCAGCGCTGGGCGGAGAGCTCTCCTCCTCCGATCCTCCTCCATTCTCCTCCTCCGGGCTGAATGCGCACGCGCGGCAAGAGCTGCGCGCGCATTCAGCCAGTCGCATAGGAAAGCATTTACAATGCTTTCCTATGGACGCTGCGTGCTCTCACTGTGAAAATCACAGTGAGAAGCACGCAAGCGCCTCTAGTGGCTGTCAATGAGACAGCCACTAGAGGATTAGGGGAAGGCTTAACCCATTCATAAACATAGCAGTTCTCTGAAACTGCTATGTTTATGAAAAAATGGGTTAACCCTAGCTGGACCTGGCACCCAGACCACTTCATTAAGCTGAAGTGGTCTGGGTGCCTAGAGTGGTCCTTTAATTTCTCATTTTTTTCTATTTTGTTCATAATAAGTTATGTTTCATATGTGAATAATTCATGAGAAGTTAATGCCCTGTTTCTCCTGAACAAAAGGATATATAATAAGTGTGGGTGCACTTAATATGAAAGAGGTGAACTCAGTGGCGGATCCAGAGCCTGATCTCGGGAGGGGCACTTGTAGATTATTTAAAGAAATAATCCAGACACAATAACCACTACAGCTCAGTGTAGTGGTTATGGTGTTAATAGTGCCGGGACCCCCTCCCATAGTAAGTAGTCAAACCGTTTAAGAACAGTTTGACAACTTACCTGAGATCTGCTGGGAAATGGGGCTGTAGTAGGGTATAGGAGCAGTGGTGTGTATGAGTGGTGCAATGTGTAAGGGGTGCAGTGTGTGTGTATGTGTGTGTGAAGGTTGTAGTGTGTGAGTGAGGGTGGCAGTGTATGTCAGGGATGCAGTGTATGTGTGTAACAGTTGCAGTGTGTGTGAGTATTGCATTGTGTGTGTATGGGGGGCAGTATGTGTGTATGGGGGAGCAGTGTGTGTATGGGGGGCAGTTTGTGTGTATGGCGGGCAGTGTGTGTGTATGGCGGCAGTGTGTGTGTATAGGGGGCAGTGTGTGTGTGTATGGGGGCAGTGTGTGTGTGTGAATGGGGGCAGTTTGTGTGAATGGGGGGGCAGTTTTTGTGAAGGGGCAGTTTGTGTGTATTGGGGGGCAGTATTGGGGGCAATGTATGTGTGTGTGATCAGGGTAGGGTGGCTTTTTTATTATATAATATTTTTTAATTTAATTAAAATAAATAAATATTCTATGCCCCCCCTCCCTTCTTACCTTTACTGGGGAGGAGGGGGGACATTTCCCTGGTGGTCCGGTGGGGGATTCATTGGTGGTCCCAGTGGGGAGAGTGAACTCTAGCCCACGCTCCCGGGCTAGAGTTCACTCTCGCGAGATTTGGAGCGTTGCCGTGGTAACCGCGGCAACGCTCCAAATCTCGAGAGAGGAGGACCCGGAGGAGCTGCAGCCTTAGCTTCCGGGTCCTCCCTCTCTCCCCTTGCCGTAGCTGCAGCACAGTGCCCGCGGACCGGCTCTACGTGCTGACAGGAGGGAGACCGGCGGATTTCCTTGCCCCGTTGCCCCCCCCCCTGGATCCGCCACTGGGTGAACTTCGGGTGAACAGACATATAGCGCATATTCCAGGTTTTGTTTACATTTTGTTTTGATCAGAACGTGTACTATTGACTCCGTCCTGAAGGGGTTAAACTTACAAGACAAACATACCAACTTCTAAAAAATGTTTAGATTGAAATTTTATTGTAGTCCTTGTATTTATTTTTTGCAAAAACCACACAAGGTGATATCGGTGCTGCTGAACCAATTGCAGAAGGGATAAGATAACAGAAATCCACCTTTTGTCAAATTAAATATCCTTTAAATGCTTTGGAATATCTCCAGAGCAGTCAGCATGGGTGCCCAAAATGTAGATCCCCAGATGTTGTAGAAGTACAACCCTCATGATGCCTTTAGAATAGCAAAGCATCATGTAAGCTGTAGTTTTAACTGGGAGAGGATGGCTTCTTTAGCACCTCGGAGGATGATCTATTTGACCCGGGAGATTGTGCTTAGTCTAACCAGACACCTGGGCAAAATCACCACCGAACTGGGACCCTATTGCAGCATCTTCGAGCTAACGACATTCCATATAGATGGGGGACCCCAAAGCAGCTTATGATTTCTCACCTGGGGACTACACATAGAGCAAGGAGTTACCAGGAGCTGGAGTCGCCCCTACCCAAGCTGGGCATCACAGAGCCTCAGAGTTCAGAAGGGGAGGCCTGTCTAGGCTGGATCCATCTACAATTGTGGAGTTTACTCCCCGCCCTTCACTACATCCTCTACAAACTGGAGAGCCGACCTAAGGGACATTGACCCGCAATAAGGAGACCCAATGTCCCACGACTGGGGAACCCTGACATCCACCATCGCTCACTGTATGTCACATCCTGTTCCTTGCTGCGGATCATTCTGGCAATGACTTCTGGTATCCAGTACTCTTTTTGCTGTCCTTGCTTGGTTTTTCTGGTCTATGTCTGGTTTTCTTTGTTGCTGGTTTTCTGGTTCATTCTTATATTCTGACCCTGGATTTCCCAGTCTCTTGGATTCACTTAAATGTTTGTTTTATGTTGCCACACCCGTTTGTTTTCCACTTTCCTTTTGTTTCAGCTTGGACCTGCAGCAGTGTTTCATGTCTCTGCCCTTTCTTGCAGGTAAGTGCTATTGTGGTTTAGTGTGGCTGTTTTAGCATACTTTAGGCAGTGTAGGATCTGCCAGATATGGGGTACATTGGTGTTGTTGGCAGGCTTGTGCAATGTATGATCATATAATGTAACTAAATCCCCATACTTTTCATAATTAGTGCTTAGCTATGTTTCCTCTTGTTTTACCTTGTATCTCTTGTCTTGTTTTACTTTGTCTTGTAATCCCAGTACATATACAGTCCTGTCCAGTCATGCCCATGTTATGTTCTTGTTTTCCTCATGTCTTGTGTACATGTTTTAGGTTCTGCTTTCTGTCCTGCTCTGGTTCTGTGTTCTCCTAGTTTGGTCTTGTTTTCTTGTATGGTGCCTTGCTCTCTTAGTCTTGCCTTGCGTCAGTACTGGATACATCCCTGCTGCAGAGCCTCCCTATTCAGCTCCTGGGAGGTCTGCTTAATTACCTGCTCTTAGTTCCTGGGATCCGCATAAGCTGAATCAGGGTTCTGGTATGTGGCTGCACAAACGCTGGTGCTCAACACCAGGGGGCGTGTGGTTACCCTGCACTAGACCCTGCTAATCCACCTCCACACTGTGACTCCTACTCTGAACTTCAGGCATTCATGGGTCCCGGTCCACGCACCGCCGCCCGGACAGTGTCTGGGTCCCGGGCACCGGACCGCCACCCATGACACTGTACATATGTTTATAATGTATTTTGAAGCATTTTTTTCGTTACTTTGAACTTCGTCATTTTTGTTCACTTACTTTAACTTGGGGGCCGCTAAGGTACCAGGTACCTTCCTTACTCTAAATGCCACAGATTCCTAAGCATGGCTCCACTTTGATTCGCTCCAGAGTTTGCGCTCCATCTCCCCCCCCCTTCCACCTTCCCTCTAGCTACTCCATATTGCAACCCTCTCTGCTTTTTCTTTTTACAAAGTTAAGAGGGATGGAGATCCTCAAGCTAGCATAGAAATACAAGTGTGCGTCTGTTAAATAAGTCATTACATGCTCGCAGAGACCACCGCGAGTTAAACCTCTGTGCCCATCTCCTGCACCATTATCGCTATGCAACTGCATAAAAATGTTTGGTAACGTGAATGAGGGAAACTCTTCTATACCACAGGACTACTATTACCCACAAGATGCCTAATACTAATGTCTGCTGATTTGTTACAATATTGTTGTTATTATTCTTTTATTTCATTTCTTCATTCTGCATATACTTTTTGCATAAAATTGTACTATCCTACAGTGCATTATTTGTATACTATTCTGATATCTTGCCGATGTACTATGCAGAATGCAAAGATAAAGAATAATAATAAAAAAAAAATAAGATATGTACCTTCAGGTAAGAGAGCACCAGGAATCTATAGGCACCATAACAACATCACGTCAATGAAGTTGTTATGGTGCCCAGAGTGATACTTTAAGGTTTCTAGGTTTTTTAAAAAGCTCCATAAGGGTATGGAAAACAGATTAACGATAGGTTTATATGCAAGTTAGTTCTAAACTCCATTACATTAGCATACCTCCCAACATTTAAATTGGACAAAGAGGTGTTTAAAGACATTACAGTTTTTCTGCTGTGGAACCCTGGTAAACACTCAGGCACACCAACAATATAAAGATCATATAAAAGAGAGACATTAACCTGTTAACGCCGTTATGGCGTGCTATGCCGTCCCAGCGTTAATGGGCTTAAACGCCGTTAGGGCGGCATATCACGCCACGGCGTTTAAGCCCACCCACGTTTCCCTGATCCCTCCCAAGTTGCAGTTCGCGGTGGGGTGGCCTGCCTGGCAACCCAGGCAGTGCCCCTGGGGCCAATCAGTGTTGAAGTTTGTGATCGCAGTGACAACCAATCACTGCGATCACTGTTACAATGTGTCAGTCAGTGCTGATTGCAGCAGTCTAAACTGCGATCAGTACATTTATTTAAATTTTTTGTGGGTTTTTGATGGTGGGTAGTAAGTGTTAGGCAGGCAGGAATTTAGTAATTTCCCCCCCTAGTTTTTTAAATTAATTATTGATTAGTTCCCCCTACAATGGCACGTCGCTACTCAGCGGAGGAGGCATACGCCATTCTAGCAGGCAGTGATAGTGACACTCTGCAAGACAGTGACACTATCATTGCTTCTGACATTGAGCCTCCGAGTGAATCCTCAAGTGATGGTGCCCCACCACCACCTACAAGAGGACGCTCAGCAAGCCCAATACCAGATGGAGATTGGGTGCTACCAAACTGGACGTCGCCAGAAATACCCCCATTCACGGCGACCACTGGCATCACTGTTATGGAGGATGCTTGGGAGACAATTAAATATTTTTGAGCTGTTCATGTCAGAAGACATTGTTCATCTAATGGTTGAGCAAACCAATTTATTTGCCAACCAATATCTGACTGCGAATGCGGGGTCACATTACAATGTGCGAAATATGTGGCACCCCACGGATCTCGCAGAAATGCGCAAATTTTGGGCCCTAACTCTAGTTATGGGTATTGTCAAAAAGCCGAGTATCAGGTCCTACTGGTACAAGCACCCCATCCTGGCTACCCCTCTTTTCCCAGGGGTTATGAAGAGGGATTGCTATGAGCAGCTGCTGCGTTTCCTCCACATCAAAGATAACGCACTGTGCCCCCCAAGAAACGACCCATTGTTTGACAGGCTCTACAAAATTCGGCCCCTAATCCAACCCCTGTCAGACAAATTCTCCTAAAATTATGTCCCTGAAGAAAATATTTGTGTAGATGAGTCCCTAATGAAGTTTAAGGGTAGATTACTTTTTAAGCAATATATCCCTTCAAAACGGTCCCGATACGGTGTTAAATTTTACAAATTGTGAGAATCCAAATCTGGATATACATGGGCGTTTCATATTTATCAGGGGAAGGATAGCCATCTTGATCCACCAGGATGCCCTGATTCTGTGGGTACAAGTGGCAAGATAGTATGGGACCTAATCCTTCCCTTGTTAAATAAGGGATACAGACTATGGGATGACACCTATTATTCAAGCATAGAGTTGTTTAAAACTTTATTTTGCTTTGAAACCCTAGCCTGTGGCACAGTGCATAAGAACCGCAGAGATTTCCCCCAAATGCTGGCAAGAGGCAGACACAGTAGAGGCTCCCTTTCAACGCTCCGCCAGGATGAGTTGCTTTCCCTTCGCATCACCGATGGGAAGGACGTATTCATGCTGTCTACAATGCACAACAAAACCTCAGTGCCAGTGTCTGTGAGAGGTGGAACTGAGCAGCTGGAGAAGCCGAAGTGCATTGTAGACTACAGCAAGTTTTTTGGGGGAGTAGACTTGGCTGATCAGTGTATACAGCCCTATCTGGTGAACCGAAAGATTAGGACCTGGTACAAGAAAATTGCAATCGACGTAACCCAGATTGCAATTTTCAACTTCTATGTGCTTTATAAAAAGGAAGCCATAGGTAGACCATACCCATTTCTAGAGTTTATGGTGCAAATTTTGTCTCACATTTGATTTGCCCAGACCCCCAATCCTAACCTGTCAGGGTGGCAGTCTGAAGACCGGGACCCCTGTGCCTGTTGTGGAGATGAGCGGAGTCTTCAGCGTGGTAGTGTACACGTAGGGCCTGGTGCAGGGTAACCGCACACCCCCTGGTGTTAAGCACCAGCGTTTGTGCGGCCACATACCAAGACCCTGTTGCAGCTTAGTGGAAACCAGAGCAGATGAATGCTGAAATGTATCCAGTACTAGAAACAAGATAAGACTAGGACAGACACCAAACAAGAAAACAAGACAAAACTAGTAGAACCCAGAACCAAAGAAGGACAGGAAGCTAAACCCAGAACATGTACACAATACACAAGGGAAAAATTAACATAACATGGGCAGGACTGAACAGGACTGTACTTGGACTGGGAATACAAAATAAAACAAGACAAGATATAATAGGCAAAACAAGAGGAGACAAAACTAAGTACTATTTGTGCTCAGAATATCTATTATGTTAATGGATGTAGAGGAGGAGCAAAGTTGGTTGAGGTGTGCCGAAACCAACGTATGAGTAGGCCTGTAAAAAAGAGGTCCCATAAAGAGAAATGTGTAAAGGAGGGTGAAGGTGGGTGGGGTCAAAACAGCTTGAACGGCAAAGGTAAGTAGGGGGGTAGGGTTTATATAGGGTCACAACTCCTCCCACAAATTCAGGCCAATTGGCCTTCCAACATATGAAAACTATGGGGATTTAGTTACATTATATGATCATACATTGCATAAGCCTGCCACAACGCCAATGTACCCCATATTCGGCAGGTCCTACTCTGCCTAATGTCTGCTAAATAAACCATAATACAACCCATACAGCACTTACCTGCAAGAAAGGAGCAGACGACTTGAAGCATCTGCCTGCAGGAACCAACTGAAACAAAAGGGACCATTGAAAAGGAACGGGTGTGGCAACATAAAACAGACATTTAAATGAATCCAAGAGACTGGGAATTCTAGGGACGGAATACAGGAATGAACCCAGAACCCAGCATAAAGAAAACCAGACACAGAATAGAAAACCAGAAAAACCAAGGAAAACTAAACAAGAATTGTAAAAAGAGTACTGAATACCAGAAGCCATTGTCAGACATCAGAACAGAGCAGAGCAGCTCCTGACATAACCCTCCTTTGGAATCTGAAGATGTCCAAAGACTTTTCAGCAAACATTATCCCTACCCAAATCCCCCCCCCACACCCTGTAAAAGGTCACCCCAATGAAAATGCCTTGTTTGCTGGAAAATAGGAGTCCGAAAGCACTCCAGTTATTATTGCCTCTGCATAACAGACTGTTTCAAAGTATTCCATACAGAGCTGAACTACTAAATCACTCTGTGTGGTAATTTGGCAGTTTGTTTGCTTGATTTCCCTGGATTCCCTGACCTCGACTTGTCCTGACCACGCTTTGTGAGCTGCCTGTACCGACTCATTGGCTTGTTTTACTGACTACTCTGGATTCCCCTGACCTTGGCCTATCCCTGTTTTATGCTAGCCATTCTAAAGTGGATACACCAAACAACTCAAAGTACTACATTTTGCAGGGTTAATACTGTGTTTAGAAACTGAAAGTGTTAATAAAATTTTTTTTTTTTTTTTTTTTAAACTTCTCAAACTTTTTACACAGTGACTCTCTATGTGAGATCAAAGATCTCTCTCGCCTTCAGAACAAAGTATATGTGGGGGTACTGTTCTATTTGTGGAAAACCTGCAAAAGTGGTAAATGGGGTTACTGTTATATTCAGGAGATGATTTTAAATAAAAATACTGATTTTTTTTTTTATTGCACTTACTAATATCACAATTATGAAATTTCCTGTGAAAATGGAATGTGTGTAAAAAAACACAAATAAAAGTATAAATCGCTACATGGGCACTGCATGTCTGTTAAAGTGGCTAGACCAAACAACTCAAACTATGCCATTTGGAATACCCTGGGCTGCCTGCTTTTAAAAATACTATGCCATCATCGGTGCAATTTTCCTCTCCTGGGCTGGCATACTTTCTCAAAAGTGACACATTGTCAAAAGTGACACATTTAGAAATTTACAAGCTTCATAAAACACATCACAGGGACCCCAAAACATGCAATAACCCCATAAAGTATATCCTTGGAACTGGGGGATCCGGGTGAACCACATATCCAAAATTCACCCAGATCCGTTCAGTACTTTGGAAAATACAGTTTAATGCAGATTATGCAGAACATATACAGGCTAAATAAAAAACAAACACTGTATAATGTGTCCCCTGCTGTATAGTCCAAAACCACCGCACGATGTCTCTGTGCAACAAATACTGGCGAGATGGCACCGTGTTGAAAAGTCCACACAGTGTCTGTGAGTTAAAATGGCCGCCATCCATTGTTCTCACCATCTGCTAATGATACAGGAAATGGTGGCCACCCAGTAACTCCACAGTATGTCCCCAGATGGTTCTTAAAAGGGCCTTCAGCAGCACAACACAAATCCATTATGCCCAAATCATGTCTTTAAAGGGCAATACATCCCAGGGGCCATAGTCACATGGCAGGAGGCTGGCAACCAGGCTTCTCCAGTGCATAGTGGCGAGGTTGGTTCCGCCACAGCATCTAATATATTTGGCCCTGTGAAACAGACCGAAACAAATTGAAATAATGGTTATATTCGTGAAACAATGTGTAATCAAAATACCGTGGCTCTATTGCAGTAACCCATATCAGGAATATGAAATATCCTATGGGCCCTGCATTTCTGATAAACTGGTTAGGCCAAACATATCGATACACACCATTTAGAATCCCCTGGGTTGCCTACTTTTGAAAATGGTATGCCGTAGTAGTGGAAATGTTGTTACCCAGACTGTGATACGATCTCAATGGCGACATAGGAGTGGAAAATCACTTTGCCAAATTCCAGTGTGTAAAAACATAAATGGATAAGATGTATATTAGACACTATAACTTTCCAAAACCCTATACAACATATACATAGGGGGCACCATTGCACACGTGAGACATCACTGACCAGAAATATGACTGTTTCAGAGCAGTGAAATGTATAAGAACGATAATATCATCACTAAAAGTACAGTTTTTATTTTGAAAATGCAAAAAAAAAAAATATCTGAATACCAACTTTGGCTACTGTTTGTGACTAAGTGGCTATTACAAAAGACTGGACATAACCCATTTTTAATACCCTGACATGTCTACTTTTCCAAATGGTATGCCATGATGGGGGGAATTTTCATTTCTGGGCTGCCATACGGTCTTAAAGGCAACATAGGCACAGCAAACCAATCTACCAAATTTCTACGTGTAAAAACATAAATGGACAAGCCCTATATTGGACCCTGTAACTTTCCAAAACACCATAAAACATATAGATGTGGGGTACCATTGTACTCATGAGACATCACTGATCAGAAATGTGAGTGTTTCAGAGCCGTGAAAGAACGATAATATCGTCACTGAAAGTACAGTTTTGTATGTGAAAAATGCAAACAAAAAAAGCTGAAAACCAACCTTGGCTACTATTTGTGACTACGTGCCTTTTACAAAAGACTGGACATAACCCATTTTGAATACCCTGACATGTCTACTTTTCCAAATGGTATGCCATGATGGGGGGAGTTTTCATTTCTGGGCTGCCATACGGTCTGAAAAGCAACATAGGCCAGCAAACCAATCTAAAAACATTCTATGTGTAAATTAAATTAATGGACAAGCCATATATTGGACCCTGTAACTTTTGAAAAACCCATAAAACCTGTACATAGGGGGTACGGTTTTACTTGTGAGACATTGCTGAATACAAATGTGTGTGTTTTATTGCAGTAAAAATGAACAGTATTATGACATTCACAGTAAAAATGACATGCAGAACTTTAAAAATTACCAAATTTTGGCATTTTTCTACTTTTTAAAAAATTTTTTTCACAAAATAAGTTAGTTCCATGTATAAAGTTTGATCTGAAATGAAAGCTCTGATTCTACTGAACAAAATGATATATAATAAGTATGGGTGTATGTAAAATGAAAGAGGTAAATTATTGTTGAACAGACATATAGTCAAATTCTGTGGTTTGTTTACATTTTTTTTGGATCACAAATTTTGGCTCCGTCTTTAACCCCTTCAGGACGGGTGACGGACGAGGTCCGTCACAGAGGGGAGACCCTTAACGACGGGTGACGGACCTCGTCCGTCACGCGGTAAAATTAACCCCGGATCGCCGCTATCGCGGCGATCGCGGGGTTAATGGTGCTCCCGGTATGCCTCTGCATTAGAGGCATACAGGGAGCACCCGGTCAGGCTGCCCAGCACATGTGCTCGCTCTGACCGCAAGTCTGAGCGAGCACATGTGCTCTGTATACTCACCTACCGGCTCCCTGCACTTCCGGGTTCTGTGTGAAGTGCAGGGAGCCGGATCAGTGATGATCCTGCCCCCTGCTGTTTAAAAAAATAAAGTTTATTTAAAGTCCCCCCCCCCCTTACCCATTTTAATAAAAAATTAACCCCTTCCCTGCCAATTGATCACTGACTACAGTGATCAATTGGCAGGGATTACATTTTACTATGATCTGATTTTTTTTTTTAACCCCTGAGGGTTAATTCTTTTTTTTTTTTTAACCCTCAGGGGTTAAATTAATTAAATTAATTAATTAAATTATTTTTTTAATTATATATTTAGCTAGCTGGGGTAGGTGGAAGTTAGTGGGGAATTGGGGGATTTGGCGTTAGGCTAACTAGGGGTTAACGTTAAAAAAAAGTTTTAAAAGAAACTTTAAAAAGTTAAAAATTAAGCTTAAAAAAATGTTTTAATAACATTTAAGTAAAAAAAACAAAAAAAACACACTTTACCTAGTCCAAATAAAAATTAACCCCTTCCCTGCCAGTCGATCACTGTCTACAGCGATCAAATAGAGATCACAGTATTATACTGTGATCTAATTTTTTTTAACCCCTGAGGATTAACTTTTATTTATTTTTTTAACCCTCAGGGGTTCAATTTATTTAATTAATTAATTTAAATATTTTATGTGGCGAGATGAGGTGGGAGACCTGCATAAATACTGGGCAGGTAGCCCTCATTAAACAGACCACTGCTTGACCCTCAACACGGAGCTCTGTCTCGTCTTTGGGGGGATTTACTGTATGCTGCTAAGGACTGATTGCCAGGAGTGTAAGTCGCTTGGGAGCTTTTCCTGTTCGTCTGGTAGCAGCAATTCGTATGGTTCCTGTTCGTGTATTTGGAGTGCTACCTTATTCCCTTGTATGCCGTTCGGGAGTTTGGAGCATTCACTTGTATGCAGTTCGAGAGTTTGGAGCATTCACTTGTATGCAGTTCGAGTGTTTGGACCATTCCCTTGTATGCAGTTCGAGTGTTTGGACCATTCCCTTGTATGCAGTTCGAGTGTTTGGACCATTCCCTTGTATGCAGTTCGAATGTTTGGAGCATTCCCTTGTATGCCGTTCGGGAGTTTGGAGCATTCACTTGTATTCAGTTCGTGAGTTTTGGTGATTCTACAGTAGCTGTGCCTGTCTCTGAAAGGGGATTATCGTCTAAGCGTTTTTTTTTCCCTTTTGTGCAAAACGGTCCGTTACAATTGGTGGCAGCGGTGGGATCGTTCCCACAGACTACAGGACAGCTACAGGCGACACCATTCCGTGGATTTTTACAATTTGAGGGCAACGCATGTCCCAGTACAGCGACCCTGACAGCACCGAGATGGAACCAGCAGTGGAGTATGACGAGGGTACCATGGATGACCGAGATGCAGTCCGTAAAGGCATCTGGTACCAGGCACTGGGTATTGTGGAGTACCAGCGGGGCAAGAGACTCCCCAAGGAAGACCAGCGACTACAGAAGCGAGTAGCCCTGCGGATGCCCTTTCTGGGAGAGCAGCCCCTGGATGAATGGGTGAGGAAATTGGAACACCTAGTATGGCAGGAGTTGTGGCTAGAAGATGCCTACCAGGCGCTCTGGTGGTATGGGGCACAGTACCTGCCCTGGACAGCCGAGCATGACAAGCCAGAGGGAGAGGAGGTTGATGGTCCTGGCTTGTTATGGGAGTCGTTTTCAGAGCTCGAATTTGGGAGCCCTACACAAGCCCGGTTCAGTGATCTCTTGGAGTGGAGGGAGAGCAGGTATGACTGGGACGACACTCACAAAATTGAGCAAGTCCTGGTCCACCTGGTGACCCGGGAGATGGAGCTAGAACAGGGCTACCAGCAGCTGTTCCAATACAGTGAGAAGGCTCAGCAGGAGAGCAGCATGACAGACCCAGAGCCAGACCCATTCAGAGGGGACGAGATGGTACAGTTTTACTGGGAAGAACCCCAGGTGGCCGGTGGAGATGGGACCGAGGTCTCTCCACCAGTCCTGCAGGGAATTGGGAGCCCAGTCTCCATTCCCCAGCGGCAGTGTAAAGTGCAGGGAGAGGAGAGCAGCATCCTCCCTCCCCAGCGGCAGGCTGAGTTACAGGGGGCAGAGGTAGTTGTTCCTGCCCTCCAGCAGCAGAGTGATATGCCGGGAAGGCAGTGTAAAGTGCAGGGAGAGGAGAGCAGCATCCTCCCTCCCCAGCGGCAGGCTGAGTTACAGGGGGCAGAGGTAGTTGTTCCTGCCCCCCAGCAGCAGAGTGATATGCCGGGAAGGCAGTGTAAAGTGCAGGGAGAGGAGAGCAGTATCCTCCCTCCCCAGCGGCAGGCTGAGTTACAGGGGGCAGAGGTAGTTGTTCCTGCCCCCCAGCAGCCAAGTGATATGCCGGGAAGGCAGTGTGAAGTCCAGGGAGAGGAGAGCAGTGTCCTCCCTCCCCAGCGGCAGCATGATTTTTGGGGAATTGGGAGCCCAGTCTCCATTCCCCAGTGGCAGTATGATGTTTTGGGAATTGGGAGCCCAGTCTCCATTCCCCAGCGGCAGCACAGATTATTGGGAATTGGGAGCCCCGTCTCCATTCCCCAGCGGCAGAGTGTCCTACCGGGAATAGAGAGCCCAGTCTCCTTTCCCCAGCAGCAGGACTCTGTATTGGGAGCAGAGACAGTCGGTCTCCCTCCCCCCGCAGCTGGAAGTATGTATGGGAGAGGAGACAGTAAGCCCCACAACTGTGCAGATGGGACCGTAGTCTCTACACTGCCAGCACAGGGGGTAGGGACGGTCGGTTCTGCCCCCCAGCGACAGGGCTGTTTAGCCAAAGGGGAGACAGTCGGTCTCCCCCTCCAGCAGCAGAGATGGGTAACCAAAGGGGAGACAGTCAGTCTCCAGCAGCAGAGCGGTGTATTTAAAGGGGAGACAGTCGGTCTCCCCCTCCAACAACCAGGCTTCAACCAGGCTACCCTCCCAATAGCGCTGGCAACAGGGCAGAGTGACGCTGGTCTCTGCCCACGCAGCACCCCACCAAGTCAGCGTACCCATACCCAGCACAGCCATGGTGAGGCACCTGGACATGGACAAGCTTCTTCTCTACCCAGGTGCAGTAACCATTTATTGTGGCAGGAGGTCAGATACCCTGTTAGTCTGTTTGGAAAAGGGGAGAGATGTGACGAGACCAATCTCGCCACATTGCATTGGAGAAGCCTGGTTGCTCGCCTGCTGCCTTTGGACTATGGCCCCCTATTAAAAGACTTTATTTTGCCTGCAGAAAAGCTGTATTCGTGCTTTTCTGCCGGTTGTTCGGTAGTTTCAATCTACCGAACAACCGCACGAATGAATAGACCACCTGGGAGCTTGAGTGTGCTGGCAATTAACCTCCCTGAAGCTGCGGTTAACCGCAGCTTAATTGATGAATGCTGGATGGCCGCCATTCGTATCCTGAACACGAGGTCGCGGCCATTTTAAAACATACGAATGCACAGCGGTGTTCGCCTCTATTTTCATGGAACTAAAATCGGACACAGTTTTGCGCGAACACCGCTGGAGCCGCCGACCTCCCTTCTTGTTCGGTGGAAGTGCACGAACGGCCCGGTGTTCGGTATTTTTGTTCGAATGTATTATACCCCAGATAGGAATCCCATGGAGCCCATTCGTATGAAACTGACTGTGTAAAGACTTTAGCTCCATGGCGATTAAACTGTATTCATGCGGTCTGAGTGCCATTCACCTAATAATGTGCACTCAGACCTGAGCTATCTGGGGATATGTTACATGTCTGTGTTTTATGTAGTAAATGTTACTTTATGTATTTTAAAGTATAATACTGGTTTTGTGTCCCCACATGTGTAATGGAGTTTTGCCTTTGTCTTGGGAGATAATTGAGTTACTTCCCAATTATCTCCCAAGGCAGAGGGGAGGAAGCCAGGATGCATTGTGGGAAATACTGTGACTGTGTGTCCTATTTGTCTGCTTGTCTGTCCCTTGTCACAGTCTCCCATTTGGTCCCCTAGGGGAGTGTCCACCAGGTGGGAGACCTGCATAAATACTGGGCAGGTAGCCCTCATTAAACAGACCACTGCTTGACCCTCAACACAGAGCTCTGTCTCGTCTTTGGGGGGATTTACTGTATGCTGCTAAGGACTGATTGCCAGGAGTGTAAGCCGCTTGGGAGCTTCTTTCCGTCTGCCTGGTAAAGGCAATTGCATGGTTCCTGCCCGTATTTGAGTGCTACCTTATTCCCTTTGTATGTCAAGCTTCGAATGATCCCATGCTAAGGTTCAAAATATGCCTTTTGAAATACCCTGGGATGCCTTCTTTAAGAAATGGTATGGCTTTATGGGGAATTTGGATTATATAGCCTGGTAAAATACTCTAAAATGGGACATAGGCACAGCATAAAAATTCAAAGTTTGAAAAAACTGGAATGGCTGTGTCCCAAATGTGCCCCTCCGATGTCCACACATACCTGGCAAAGGTACATACGGGGGTATTGCTGTACTCAGCCGACATAGCTGAGCAACATATGAAGTATTATACAGTCGTAGCACACATAAGGTTTGCAAAATATACTGTGCAAACTCACTTTGTATGTCAAAAAGGCAGAAAAAACGCTTATTACCACTACATCTGGTACAAGCTAGCGGAAAAATGATCCCACGCTAAGGTTCAAACTATACCTTTTGAAACACCCTGGGGTGTCTACTTTAAGAAATGGTAGGCCTTTGTGGGGTAGCTTGAATTTAAAACCTGCGAAGATGCTTGGAAATTGCACATAGGCCCAGCGTCAAAATTCAAAGTTTGGTAAAAACGGATATGGCTTGGTCTCCTATATGGCACTGTAGCTTCACAAAATAGTGACAAAGACATTCATTGGGGGTGTATTTTTACTCAAAAGACTTAGCTGAGCATAATTTGGGAGGTTTGAACTTAGTGGCACATATGAAATATACAAAACGCCCAGCAAAAATGCAATCCGTATGTAAAAAATGCACAAAATAATTTTTTTACCACATACTTTGGCATATATTGGTGAAAAAATCGGGGTATGTTAAGGCACAATATGCACCTTATGAGATACCCTGGAGTGTCTACTTTTACAAATGGTAGGCCTTTGTGGGGGTTTTTTGAACAGTCAAACTGTTATAATACCCCAAATGGAAGCTAAGGCTTATTAAATCCATCTCTCAAAATTCTACTGTGAATACTGTAAAGGACAGGTCTCCTATATGGCACTGTAGCTTCACGAAATAGTGCCAAAGACATTCATATGGGGTGTCATTTTACTCAGAAGACTTAGCTGAGCATAATTTGGGGGGTTTGAACTTAGTGGCACATATGAAATATACAAAACGCCCAGCAAAAATGCAATCCGTATGTAAAAAATGCACAAAATTATTTTTTACCACATACTTTGGCATATATTGGTGAAAAAATGGGGGCATGTTAAGGCACAATATGCACCTTATGAGATATCCTGGAGTGTCTACTTTTACAAATGGTAGGCCTTTGTGGGCTTTTTTGAACAGTCAAACTGTTATAATACCCCAAATGGAAGCTAAGGCTCATTAAATCCATCTCTCAAAATTCTACTGTGAATACTGTAAAGGACAGGTCTCCTATATGGCACTGTAGCTTCACGAAATAGTGCCAAAGACATTCATATGGGGTGTCATTTTACTCAGAAGACTTAGCTGAGTATAATTTGGGGGGTTTGAACTTAGTGGCACATATGAAATATACAAAACGCCCAGCAAAAATGCAATCCGTATGTAAAAAATGCACAAAATTTTTTTTTACCACATACTTTGGCATATATTGGTGAAAAAATGGGGGCATGTTAAGGCACAATATGCACCTTATGAGATACCCTGGAGTGTCTACTTTTACAAATGGTAGGCCTTTGTGGGGGTTTTTTGAACAGTCAAACTGTTATAATACCCCAAAATGGAAGCTAAGGCTCATTAAATCCATCTCTCAAAATTCTACTGTGAATACTGAAAAGGACAGGTATCCTGTATGGCACTGTAACTTCACGAAATAGTGCAAAAGACATACAATGGGGGTGTCATTTTACTCAGCAGATGTAACTGAACACAAAATAAAACTTTGTACAGGAATAGCACACACCAACTTTACAAAATATACACGAGAATTTCTCTGTTATAAGTTTGTGTGCCAAAAACCAAAAAGAACACAATTTTACTCCAATATTTAGCAGAGGTTGGCGGTGAAATGGCTACGTAGAAAGTGTCAAA